CGGAGCCGGAGCCGGATCCGATCTGATTGAAAACTGATCCAAACGTACGAACTCTTTTGATCGTATTACATTCAAATTGAAAACTGATCCAAAGCGATCGAACAAAATGGGTTCGAGGCCAGCTTCTTTATGATTTGCGATAGAAGTTAAAAGTTTTTCATACCTATTCTGTGATTTCTTCATGATGTTTCGATTAATTTTGTGTGGAACCTTCTTAAGCTTAGTGGGAAAGTGATAATTCTGTGGTGAGTGAGTCTCTGGAGAATGGGAGATTGAACAAGTAGAGATTTTTTTTTTTGCTTACTTGAGGAAGAGAGAAAGTTGGAAAAGAAGATGGCTCCTGTTAGTAAAGCCGATAAGAAAGCAGCAGTGGATGCTGCTGCGTGGATGTTCAATGTCGTTACTTCTGTTGGTATCATCATTGTCAATAAAGCTTTAATGGCTACTTATGGTTATAGCTTTGGTAAATCTCTCTATGATCCTCTTTTAAAGCTTCTTCTTTGGAAACCTGAAGCTATTCCTCTAAATGTTTTTACTTATGCTGCAGCTACAACCTTAACCGGTTTACATTTCACTACCACAACCCTCATGACGATTGTTCTTAGATGTCTTGGTTACATTCAGCCTTCTCATCTTCCATTTACGGAGCTTCTGAGATTTATTCTGTTTGCAAACTTCTCGATTGTTGGAATGAATGTCAGTCTTATGTGGAACTCCGTGGGATTTTATCAGGTTATAAATATCATCTATCTCTGTACTTTTGCATTTTGCGCAAAGGAACACATCTAATCTTCATTTCATGGTGTCCTGTTTTTTTTTGTTTTTTAGATTGCAAAGCTCAGCATGATTCCTGTATCCTGCTTGTTGGAAATGGTATTCGATAAGATTCGTTACTCCAGAGACACAAAGCTTAGCATAGGACTGGTTCTTGTGGGTGTTGGTGTTTGCACTGTTACTGATGTTAGCGTAAACACCAAAGGCTTTGTAGCCGCTTTTGTTGCCGTGTGGAGTACTTCTCTGCAACAATACGTAAGTGTTCTCCAAGCATTCTTGCTCTTAAAAATAACATTTTTTTTAACTCTAAAGTAAGATCGAAGTTGTTTATACTTGATGCAGTATGTACATTACCTTCAGCGGAAGTACTCGCTTAGCTCCTTCAATCTATTGGGGCATACCGCTCCAGCCCAAGCCGCAACATTGCTGGTAGTTGGCCCATTTCTTGATTATTGGCTGACCGAAAAAAGAGTAGACATGTATGACTACAACTTGGTCTCTGTGGTACGCACCAAAAATCTCA